CTATTAAAATTATAAGATATGATAATGGGAAGAATATACTGGTCATTTTGATAAATTTTTTATTGATAATGGTATCATTCATGAGGTTACTTCCCTTTATTCTCCCCAATCATTTTATAGGCTTTGCTTGTCATAGTTGCTTACAATTTTTTAGTCATTGACTTCAAAACTAATTTTATTGATAAGAACACAATTTTTGAAACTAGAGATACTGAATTTTTTGAAATTGGTTTCCTTTTAAAAAAATTTGAAGGACCAAGTAGTTTTACTAGTGTTACTCTTGGAGTTAGAGATGATTCTAATAAGCTTGTGTTTTTTGCCCATTCTTTTTTTTAAAAGAGTTTTGAATAGTGTTTTAGGAAAATGCGTGGTTAAAAAATAGGGAAACAATGTTTAGTTTACATGAAGAATATTTAATTATATGAACGTGTGGTTGAAAATGATCATGTAGAAAAAAAAAGTTTAAAATGAATTGCAATCAAACAGGGGCTAAATTAGAAGAAGCTGAAATTAGCGTAAGCAAAAGACCAAATTCTGTTACTTCTTTTGGTCCTGACTTTTACCCTACTTAGTAGAGAATGATGATCGTATTTTTAGTGAAGCAATGACTTCACTGTATTCTATTATTTGGAAGAAAGTTATAAATAATGAATATGATTCTATTTTGTCTAATAATACTTGGGAATTAGTAGACTTGTCTCAACATTGTTAATAATATGGCGGACCTTTACCATTGATCGTCGTCAATCAACGATCGTAATAGCGAGATCGTTTATTAATATTTCTAAGTTGTAAAGAGAGAAAAGGGAAAATGAAAAGAGCACAGAAAACAGGACGCGTATGCGAGACACCTAACAAGGTATTTAGAAGTAACATTTAACAAAATGAAAGTCATATTACTCACCTCAACTAATCGAAACTTGATATTGTCATTAGCAAACTATGCGTCTTTCAAATTTTAACCCCGGAGTCCCTTCATAAGTATAGACAACTGCTAATTTTCTTCCATATGTGCCCTCACCCTTTTGATCTCTTGTGAAACATCTTGCATTCTCTACAATTCCCAAAATCACGTAATAGCAAGACATCACTATTCACTACTTCAATCCATCATAGCACGTTTAAACATCTAACAAATACCATGATCTTTTACCAGGTACCAGAAATTTCTCAACAGTTGGTTAAGCATAAATGAAAATTCCCAATATTCTCAAATTTACAAAATTCTCAATACTCTCAAATTCACAAAAATCAAAATCCTCGAAGTCAAGACTCATGAGTCAACAATACAAACTCACAAACACATCCACAACTCATATACATAATTCATAAAACATAAATCAAAAATGATAAATCAAAAAAATCAACCAAACTCTAAAAGAACAAAAACAAAAAGAAAAATAAGAAAAAAGAAAAGAAAAGATAGGAGCAGTAGAGCAAACTCACAATGGCGAAGCTGCGAAGTCAGTGGCGAAAAGGTTAGGCGTCATTGGCGATTAGCAACAAGGAAGGGGCTGAGACGGTAGGACCGATGGGATCAACCATGGGAGGGATTAAGATTCAATTTGTACAGGCTGCAGGTTTGTGCTTTGTTTCTAATTGAAATTTGGGGATGGGTATAAGATTGGGTTTGGGCATTAGGTTGGGCCCTTTTTTTTTAAAAAAAAGTGGAAATTACACAAAACCAAAATTTTAAAGATTCAATTTCAAAAATCAGATATAAAATTTATTTATACAAAAATCAGATATTAATTCAAATTTTTAATACTACCCAAACCCTAAAAATCCCAAAATCCTAAATCATTGTCCACATCTTCCTTCTCTTTCACTTTCTCTCCCTCCGATGAATTCGACATCAACAATTAAAACAAATGCTGCTCCGACTCCGTATACCAACCAGTAAGCTGCACACGATCGGCAACGGTGCCTCGCAACTACGGCAACACCGCTGCACACGATCGTCGTGCGGCACCACGATGTTCTCATGTAGCAGTGTTGTTGCTGCTCTTTCTTTCATTCCCTTCTCCATTTTCTTTCTGCCGTAGAGTGTGGATGTGTAAATGGTGTTGGTGATGGTGTGCGGTGGTGGTGATGTGTGGGCGTGGCGGTGGATCTGTGGTGAGGTGGTGGTTGGGTGTGGTGTAAATGGAGATAGAGAAGATGGTGGTGGTGTGCTGTGGGTGGTGCGGTGGTGGATCTGTGTTGCGACGAAGACGACAACGATGGTAGGGTTGAGGATTTTTTTTGGGTTGTAGGATGGGGGTGGTGGAGGTTTGGTGATGGTGGTGGTGGTGCAGTGGTTGTTGGTGGGTAGTGGTGATCGTGGTGATGCAGGTATTTTTTAGATAATGGTTTGCTGCCAGGAGGTGGTGGTGGTGGTTGTTCTGGCGATTGGGTTTCAGTTGCCATGCTGGTGGTGACAGTGGTGAGGCGGTAGTCACAAGTGTTGGTGGTGGTCACAGATTATTTGATTGTTTGTAACCATTAAATTGATTATTTTGTGACCGATAAACAACGTTCGACTAATGAAAAAGATAAATTGTGACTAAAAAATAACGTGTGATCTAAAAAATTGTTAATTTGTGACCGATAATTTGATAATTTGTAACTATCTAATAAGTTGACTTATAATATTTGTGATTTATGACCAATAAATAAATTGTGACGTATAAATTTTTTATTTATGATCGACGAACAAATTGTGATTTATAAACTTTTTGAATTGTGACATAAATTTTGTAATTTGTGACCAATGAATAATATGTGACTTATTAATTTGATAGATTTGTGACTGATGAATAAATTGTGACGTATAAAATTTTAGATTTGTGACCTATAAAATTTTTGAATTGTAATCATAAAATAATTTGTGACACATGAAAATTGTGATTTGTGAGCAATTATATGGAATTTGTGACCAAATTATATGGAATTATGACCTTAATATATTTAATTAATAAAATATATGTTTAATTAATTAATTTATAAATAAAATTTAAATGACTCTGAGATTTGAAATTTTAAACATTAATCTCTTATATTTGAAATTGGTAAAAGTTAACCTCTTAGTTATGAAATCTTCCCAAAAATAAAAACTAGAAGTCAAATAAGAAAAAAAGGCCCACAATCACAATTAAAAAAAAAAAAGAAAAGGTCCAACGAATCATCATCTTCAAGACTTCAACCTCAGCTTTCTGAGATTTTCTGTCGGCTGTGTCTCCCCTTCAACCCGACAACGGCGACTTCGGCGGAGCCAACACGTGCAGCCGCACACCCTCGTCAGATGTTGGCTCTGCCACTGCAGTTACTTGATTGCAAATAAGGCTAAGTTTCTTTAAAATTTACTTTACCAACTTGGCAAAACACATGGAGCCACGTCAATAGTTTTGTTAGGTGGTTGAATGGAATGCCAACAAAGTGGCCTAATTGCTTGCAAATTAAAGTACAATAGTATAATTGCTCCAAGTTAAAGTTTAATGGTCTAACTGCAAGTAATGGTAAAATTCAGTGACTGGTTGAAATGTACCCACATAAACAATATATTGACAAAATATCACTGATCGGATAAAAAAAATCAGCACATAACAAAACATACACTCGAAAATTGAGTATATATACTATATTTTTCCATGTGTATGCAATCGTCATACCTAAGATTAACTGGACCGACGAAACGAATACAACCAGCTCTCCTGAAAATTGTTTTAAGATATTCGAATGGGAAAAATCCATTTGTACAATCAGTAATTAATAGCGGGCTGCACACTAATGTGAGAGGTTGTAACTTTTACAATCCCTTAATGATTGTACACCCAGCATTGTTCATTCGAATGAAGAAGTAGATGTTGAAATGTCTTACATCACAGTTTCAACTCACTAGCTCCATCCAATAGTTGGCAAGAGGAACCTTGACAAATCTCGATGTCAAGTCAGAGGCTAAGCAAATGAAAAAAATATACAGATATTCAGCAAAGCAAACGTGGACAGCTAGCAAAAAAGAGTGTACGTCAGTAGGAATGATTAACTTGTATTTACAAGCTATTCTCTGTCTTTAAGCAGCTTTCTTAGCTGTAGAATACTTGATTATGTGCTTGTGTGTGTCCTAATTAAGAATTTAGTTTCCTGCTTTTTTATGTTTCTTACCTAACAAAAGTTGTGTTTGCTTAAAGCAAAATGCATGGTGAAAGCAATCTTTTGCTTACTTTTTCTGCTAGTATTATTCCATCAGTCTCCGACAAGTAAGAAAGATTGGGTAAATTACCTGGTTGGTCTCTGAACTTCGCAACCCCTCCTTCAACTTAACATGTGCGCCCCGTTAGTCCTTAAGTCCGACATCCAATTGGCTGAAATGATAAGTGGGTAGACGAAATCGTCCAACTCAAATATACACTCGGTTGGCAGAAGAACTTTAGAATGTACGTTTCTAGACCTTCAACTCAACAACACACCCCATTAGTAGTCCCATATCGGCCTTCCAACTAAAGGAAACGATGAGTTAACAAAAAGAAATACTTAAAAATAAACAAACACTCACTTTTATATAATTACAGATGGATATATGTAGTATACAACTGACCCAACTTAGCCTTTAAACTAATAAACAAACATTGTGTTTAAATTGATGCAAAAATGAGGCTGGAAAAGGAAGTTACCTACTACTCTCTTCCTTGCCACCAAAAAATTCAAAAAGTAAAGCTGTGCTACTCCAAAATGTCTAAAAAACTAGTGATTCTCTTCACTAGACTATACACACATACATTCAACATCCCCCTTTTTTTCCTTAAAAGGTTGAGATGGACACAGACCTACACAAGTTTGAGTTTTCTTGGAGAAAATAAACAAGAATCAAAGAACAGAATTTAGGCGAACCGATTTCATTGTCTGCCAAAGTCACCCTGAAAACCATCATCCAGGAGCCTCTCACTCTGACACTCCATCAAGGGAGTTCCCTCAAATTTTTCTTTGAATACACTGAATTCTTCTGCTATATCATATTATCATCATTGTTTTGCGTGCTTCCATCCATATGTCCATAGTAATCGAACTTGAATCTGCGTTAAAATAATTATACATATCAGAAAATGTAATCTAAGTAATCTAGTATAAGTGAACATATGAAATACTAAATAAAATTAACAGAATTACCAAGATTTTCAGACTATAGCATTGTCACTCAAATTTCTCACTCGGAGCTCCACATTGCGCAGATCACGAAGATGTTGTAAAATTTCTTGGAGGAGATCCATTCCCTTGTCACCTTTTCTTAAGGAGCCTATGCAATGCTTCAGGAATTCTTTGTCTGCCTCAAGAGCTTGTAACCTTTCATAGAGATGATCCACCTCCTCTTCAAAGACAACCTTCTTGTTATCTAATTTGAGCTTTGATTCATAAGAAATGTGAACCCCATTAGATTCAAATCCATTTCCATTTCCATTCGAGAATACGTTTCCATTCTCATCACTAATTGCATCAAAAAGAGGAAGCAGCCGTTTTCCATTTGCACCCACAATTCTTCTTTGTTGATGATGTTTCCCATTCATTTCCTTGGTTAAACCATTTGCATGCCAATTTGTTTCACCCCCGAAGTAAGTACGATTGCCATTTGCTTCAACATTTTCATCCACACGATTGACGATCTCTTCATGGAAATCTTCCATCGGTTTAAAATCCACGAAATCTTGTTCCTCCTGGATATCCAATGCCATAAGCTTTTCTTCTAAGACCTTGAGCTTCTCCAGAATAGATAACCTCTCTTCTTCAAAGTCAGCTAACGACTCATCCAAATTTAGTGCTGCATCGACCGGAGTATTCTGGTTGCTTGACTCGAGATGGCTATAAAACCTTTCTTCTATCTTTGCTTCTTGATTTAGATCAATAGATAATCCATCACTATCCTCACCATTGCTAAAAGAAGCAGAGGAGAATCCACTTCTAGTACTCCCATCCTTACTTTTTCTCAATAGCCTCATCTTTTCTTTTGTTTCATAATCCAAAACCTTCTTTTGATATAATTCCAACTCTTTCTCGAGCTCCTGTTTTTCCTTCTCCCTTTTTACCATAAGTTCATTCAAGAGTTGCAGAGCTTCTTGATCATATTCAGATTGCTCTTCCATCATTCTCTGATACTGTAAAGCTTCCATTTGCATTGCCGCTTTCTCTTCTTGGAGTCTGTTTATCATTGCCATTGTTTGATTTGCAGCCACGGCAGAAGCACTTCGCTCTTCTTCCAGCTCAGAATATAATGCACATAAAGTCTTACGTTCAGATCTTAGAGCTGATTTCAAGTCTTCAATTGTAACAACTCCGTCACCACATTCTAGCTCACTAGTCACACTTCCATCCAAAGACTCAGTTGCTGAATCCTTATTCTCAATCAGTGGAAATTTCTTGTGCAAATGATGGAGACTGTCTGCAGAAGTGGGTGTAGAAGCCGGTGTATCAGGAACCTTGTTTTTGTCAATATCATTGAGCTGCAAATGAAACAATGGTTTTTCGTTCATCATGAACTCACTGTTCCAAACTGATAAAGTATTTAGTTCTACTTTCGGTTCCTCAACTTGTGAAGGACCTAATAGAAAATTGAGAAAGATTAGAAGATACCAAGGAAAAAATTTCATCCAGAAGTGCTAAGAAAAGAATAAAAAACTTCCTTCCCTCGCCACCTCGACTTAAAACACAGAGGAAAAGAGAACAGAAAAGACCAGCAAAATGAGAATTTGAGCTTACCATGATTATTTGCCGTAAAACTGGAAAATGTTATCAATGGATCTTCGTGTGTGGATTCATATGAAAGAACATAATCTTGATTTTGGATTTCACCTGTTATATCTAAATCAGGAATTTCCGTTCCAATTGATACATCTCCTTCAGTTCCACAATTTGATATCCGAGCAACTTCTTCAGAACCTACATTACAAGTAACTTATTTTGAATTCTATTTAACACGTATACTATCCAAAAATGATGGAACTAGTCTTCGGGACCAAATGTGAGTACCTGGAAAAACCGGTGAATGGTTATTTTCCCTTTCTGCTGCTTTCATTTCTTGAACATGACCTATAAGTTGAGATGGAGTTTGGGCTACATGAGAACTTGCATCTTGTTCATAATCCCCCATCTTCAAATGGCATTCTTTTGCATGAAAAACAAAAGAATTTTCATCCTCTTCTATTTCCATAGAGTCGAGCATCATATACTTGGGATCCTCGTGCATAGTAAAATCAAAATCAAGTATCCTTCCAGCCTTTTCTCGTCTGAACCTATCATCCACAACCATTTTGACTTCTGTCTTTAACCATACCTCGGAATCTGGATTTGTTTCTTGATGCTTATCGTTACCATTATCTTCATCGTTAGCATGGTTCTTGCTTCGTTGGTCGTCTTTTATCGAATCAATCAACTCGGCTGGAACCAGTCTATGACCGCTGTTGTCCAGAAAAAAATCCAGATGCTGAGGGGAAATATCAAGGGGAATGTCCTTTTCTTCTTCAATTGAAACCTGAACACACTTATCTACCATGGTTATAGTCGAGTTTTCAGCCTTACCTTTCTTTGTTTCCTCTTCCATTTCCAAAACCACATCTCCATTTTCACCTTCTTCACCTTCCAATTCTTTCATCTCATTCACATATACTGAAATAGAAACCTTATCTTCTATTTCCTTTTCTGTTACATTCAAATCTCGATCAAAATCACACAGAATCTGAGCTCTATTCCCATTTTCCAGCCGATGTTCAACATCACATAAATCAGTAACAAAAGCTGATATATTTTCACAAGATTTATGATCTTCTTGTACATGATTTTCATTTTCCCCGGAATTTTCAATCAATTTTTCTTTGTGGGAACATCCCAGAACATCCCAAGAATGGTTTGTCACTGTATATGAAGAATATATATTATTCTCTAGGATTACCCCACAACAAGAGCACTTCAAACTTACCCCATGATATTCTGGCCTTGAGGACAAGCAATTCTCGCACATATACTGAGAATCAACCAACTTTTGGTGATTTGAGCAGTAACCCAATTTAGAAATCTCCTTGGCATGAACTTCACATAGAAGATCTCTGGGAAAATTCTTGTTACTTTTAGCAGGTTCAAAGATGTGATCAACTCTAGAACACCAAAGGCAAGGTGGGTTTAGGCCAAAATACTCAGCAAATCTGATGATTAGATAGGAAAACAGAGAATTGAGGAGAAGGAGAAGGATTAAAATCCATTCAAGAACTGCATATATCAGAATGAGTGTAAACTTGTTCGTATTTCTATGCAACATTGTTGCAAATTTGTTTGCAGCCATGATTTTTGCTTCGTTTTATGATATATGCAAATACTAAACAGAAATAGAGATTATGAAATAATTAATCAAATCAGAATGAAATGGAATGGAGTGAACAAAACTATACTGTTAGGGGGAGAGAATTAGAAAACAGTCGATCAGGGAAACTTTTATTTAGAAATACAGAATGAGCGATTTGAGTAGGTAGACAGCCAAATAAGACGTGGAACTTTAGGTGAAAAAAGTTGATTAATTAAGCAAAAAGTAATAATTGTTTTTGGAGCATTTTTATTTTTATTTTTATTTTCCAGGGGAAGTGTTCGCAATATTATTGCTTTCACACTACCTTGTTCTTAATTTAAAATGATTTTTTGCTATAAAATTTAGAATGCCAATGCATTAACATTTTAGGGATTTTATATTAAGTATTTTCTCTTATTTAGGTAAATATTAACACCGCAATTTGCTAGTTTTAGGCATGAGCTGGTCGATATCAAGGTCAACTAGCTAGTTTTAATTTTATTTTACCAAGTATTTTTTCATATAATCAGGCGCTTTTTAATGATGTCCTTAGTTTAAATCGGTTAATTTTATCTTAATGGGTACTAAATTTATAATGGTATTTTACATATAATACCTAACTAGGGATGACAACGGTTCAGTTCGGGATCGGTTCGACTAAAATCATAACCGCACCACCAAATTTTTGGTCATACCATAACCGCACCATAACCACGAAAGTCGGTTCGGTTCGGCTCGATTCCGTTCGGTTCGATTCGGTTAATAACCATGAAAATAAATAATTTTTTATAAATTCAAACTCCAACCGTCAAATTGAAAAAAGAAATATGAAAAAAAGTCAATAAAAATAAAAAAAATGTCAAGACATCTGAAAAATAAAACACATCAATCGAACATATTTAGAGCCAGTAGTTTGAGTTCAATAGTTTTATCTGATCAGAATCCACAATCACCTCCTGAAAGCAGCAGCAGGCTGGAGAATTTGTGATTTCATGTAATCTTGACCATTAAAAACATAAAAGAAAGACAAAATCAACATGAATATATTCAATCTGGCTGAAAAATAAATCTTAATTGGTCATTTTTCAATACTCATCACATGTTCAACTTCAACAGAAAGCATGCTTAATCAAATAAATCCCAAGATCTCAAACATGTTCCATTAAAAAAAGAAAACTAGACACTTGAATCACCTTGAAGACTTAAATAGATCTGAAATTGGAGAGAAATCAAAACTAATCATAAAGCTATCAATGTTATTCATAAACAAATCTTTATCAATCTTTATGTATTGCTCATTACAGATTCAATTGAAAGATTGCTAAATCAAACGTATCCCAAGATTTTAAACATGATAAATTGTGAAAAATAAAGGTCAGATGCATCATGAAAACTCAAAATTGACCGGAATTGGGGTAACTGGAAAAAAAAACCAAAACTAATCATTAAACTACCAATGTTAATTGAAAACCAAATTTCATAGATTCTTCTTCATTAACCATTGCAGATTTAATAGAAATAATGCTAAAATAAACAAATTCCAAGATCTCAAACATGTACAATTCCAAAAACTAAACATCAGAATCATCAAGAACACTCATAATCACCCCAAAACTAGGAAGGAAGAAATCGACACTTACGGGAAAGATGGCAGGATTTTCCTTGTGAGGGATGTAAGATCTTTCTTCGAGAAAGAGGGTGGAATTTTCTTTGTCCCTTCTCAAAGCTGTCACTATAGAAAGAAGAAACATCTCATGTTATCTAAGTGCAGTGAGAAGCAATTAAGGAAAGATAGCTCGTCAATTCTTAATCGTTACCTTCTCAATGGTGAGTGGTGATGGTAAGGGCGAATGATTTGAGTGGAAGAGAAGTGGAGACTGTAGGGTTACCACAGGAGTCACATGACATGGTTTTAACTTTTAACGTGTATGTCGTATATTTAAATTGGACTATCTCGACAGTGGACTGGGTTAAAAACTATAAATAGTGTTAGGTTATTCATTATTGGTTTATTTAATGTTAATTGGGCTAGAATTTTGGGAAGTCCAATTGTCAAAATTGCCCAATTAAATTTGGGAAAGAATGATGGAAAGTCCAATTAATTTTTTTTAACGGGTAATCGGTTCGGGGCGGTGCACCATCGCTAAATACCATGCCCGTCCCTAAATGAAGCGGTTCATTAAAATCAAAATCATAACCGCCTCATTGCACCATTGATTCGATTTTTTTCGTCCTATTCGATTCGGTTAACCGCTGTTTTCGGTTTTAACAGTTCGAATTGTCATATCTATATCTGACCAAATTTCAAATCAATCCTCAAATTTTCTAATTGAATTAACATAGACTATCTATTTTTGATAAAATTGATTTTTATCATTTTAAATAGAAGATAAGTGAATATTACTTGTGATATAATTAAAATTTTGTTTGAAAATAAAATTTGATTTAGATGATGGCAATTACTATATATTTGATTAATTAAATTTGAACTTTGAACTCCATTTTTTACTACAATAAAACTTGATATACGTATCCCAAGAAAACGAAAATTAGATCGAAAAAATTTGGATCCAATGATTTCTTGAATAAAGAACCAAGGTTTGAAGGTTGAATGTCACAAAGATGAAATATTTTTTATAAGATCGGGATAATTCAATGAAGAACAATATTGAAAATGAATCCACACATTGTAATTAATCAATCAAAACATATGTTAACTGTTCATACGATGATAAAGTCTTATAAAGCCGGACTCAAAAGAACATTAATTTACTCGAAAACCAACAAGATAAAACTAAACAAGTAGTGTTTTCATTAAACTTAAAAACTAATCATGTCTGTGTCTCGGGAAGCCATACATGTGCATGGTTATGCGAGTCGCGCATGCATGATTCAATTGATTCAACTTTGGATTTTGAAAAAAGCCTTGTTATGCACGCAATGTTGTTTCTACCTTGAGTATGTAAGGTTGTCTTCCGATCCTCCTTCGTCCTTTGGTTGAATCAAATGCATTAAGGTTGGTTCGTGCTTTATGCTTATCTTGAAAGTTGGTGTCTTGCTCGTTGCCATCGAACTTTCATCCACGTAATTTCCTTGCATGGATTCTTTGATTTTCTTTGCTATTGATCTTATTATGGGTCCATTCGGAACATGTAAATGATTCTTGCTAGTCAACCCTCCATGATACTTAGTATTCCCTCCCTCTTTAAAAGGATACGACCTCGAATCATCACTTGTATTAAAGAGAGAAGGATCATTAAAAGTAGCAAAGCCACATTATACTCACCTAGAAGGTCCAGTTTAAAAGCACTGTTATTAATCTTCTCAAGGATTTGGAATGATTCATGCCCCCTAGTAATGCAATTTAAACCTTCTTTGGGTTGGAAAACACTCCTTTCGCATGTGAAGCCAAATCCAATCTCCGGGTTTAAATGTCACAGTCTTCTTCCTTCATTGACTTGTGAAGCAAAATGTTCATTCTTTTCAAACTTAAGACGAACCTTCTTTTGGATTGAGTTCATTAATTCAACTTTCTTCTTCCCATCCAACGTGCCACTTCCATGAATAAGTAAATAAATTAAATCTAAGGGAGTTAGTGAATTAAAATCATAAACAATTTCAAAGGCAGAACAAGAAGTTACAAAATGCATGACCCTATTCTATGCAAACTCTATAAATGATGAACAATCCTCCTAACTTCTCAAATTTATATTGATTATAGTGCGAAAAAGTTGAGTTAGTATTCTATTAATTACTTCAGTTTGTCCATCTGTCTGTAGATGACATGTAGTAGAAAATAATAGTTGGTTCCCAACTTACCCCACAACTTTTCAAAACTAGCTAAGGAACTTAACATCCATATTAGACACAGTACTCCTACATATGCTATAGAGTCACACTCTCTCTCTGAAAAATAAATAACCTATGTTTGTGGCATTATCTGTTTTATGGCATCAAATAAAATTTGCTATCTTCCTAAACATATCCACCACCACAAATATAGAGTCTCTACCAATTTTAGTCCAAGGCATCCTCTATATGAAATTTATAGACACGTCAATCCATAGCTCACTAAGAATGGGAATGTGGCAAAACCTTAAATTTAGCCTACTTACACGTACTGTATCTACTATAGATGCACTTAACATCTATTTTCATTTTAGGGTAATAAAAATGCTCATGCAATAGTTTTAAGGTTTTCCTAACATTGAAATGCCTCATCAATCCCTCACTATGTGTTCTATGCACCAACAATTCACGCATAGAATAATTAGGTGCACACAATTTAATTTTTTTAAACAAATACACACCATTTTTGTAAAATTTATCAATGACAGTTTTATCATATGACATATATGTTAGAAAAATATGCATCATTGACATACATATCTTTAATATACTCAAACACAAGCATTTTGACACTTAAAGAAGTAAGAAGTACATACATTTTGGATAACGCATCAACATATATGTTTTCCTTATCTTGTTTATACTGGATAACGTAGGAAAAGTCTCGATATACTCTGTCCATCTTGCATGCCTCTTGTTCAACTCACCTTGACTCTTTAAATGTTTTAAAGATTCATTGTCGGTGTGAATTACGAACACATTTGGTCATAGATAGTATTGCCATATTTTCAAAGCTCGAACAAGAGCTTAAAACTGTGTCATATGTAGGGTAATTCAAAGTTGCTTTGTTTAGCTTCTTACTAAAAAACGCTATGACTTCACCTATTCTGCATCAAAATGGCTTCAATAGGATATTCCTAGGGTATCAAATTTAATCTCAAAAGTTTTGTTAAAGTTAGGTAGTGCTAAAATAAATGCAGGATACAACCTATCTTTAATAATATTAGATGTGTTTTCTCATTCAATGCTCCAACGAAATGCAACAAAATTTCAGTGAGTAATGTAGCAAGTATACTAAAATCTTTAACAAAACGCCTATAAAAACTAGTTAAACCATGAAAGTTTCTTATCTCGGTGATGCTATTAGGCGT